TATGTTCCACAGCCATGAATATGCCTCAAACACTTCCTATGCAAATAAACCACAGAGTCTTTCTTGTATTGCAATTGCTGAAGATGGTGATTTCTGGAGAACAGTGGAAGAGTGTGTGGCCATCTCTGAGCCTTTTTTGAAAGTATTGAGGGAAGTATCGGAAGGGAAACCGACTGTAGGTTCAATATATGAACTAATGACCAGGGCCAAAGAATCAATCAGGACATATTACATAATGGATGAGAATAAGTGTAAGACATTCTTAGATATAGTAGATAAGAAATGGCGAGACCAACTCCATTCACCTTTACATGCAGCTGCTGCCTTTTTGAACCCTGGTATCCAATACAATCCTGAAACAAAGTTTATTTCTTCTATAAAAGAAGACTTCTTCAATGTTCTGGAGAAATTGCTTCCTGTACCAGATATGAGGCGTGACATCACCAATCAAATCTATACTTTTTCAAAGGCACATGGGATGTTTGGCTGCAGCCTAGCAAAGGAGGCAAGGAATACAGTTGCACCATGTAAGTTTTAAATAGTGCCTCTTATACATTTTGTCTCTTAGAGAGCAAATTTTGTGAAGTTCATTTTAAGCTGCATCTTTCAATCCAACATCAAAGTTTGTGGATAATATTGTCTGACTTCAGCTTTGATCTTTAGGTAATGAAAACCTTGTAGTTTGGGGGTAAAATGCTATCAAGCTACTGAGTCTAATTTTAGAACTAATGATGTTCCAGTTTGGAAAAAATGGGTTTTTTTGGGGGAGTCGTGGAAGACTAGTTCACTAATCATAAATGGAATGCATTTTAAAAGATGGGCCATGTGAAACTAGATTATGACTTTTTAAAGTTTATTTCTGATTAGTAAGATTCTTTTTAGTTTCATTTAACTGTACAACTAGTTAGCATCTGATTTCTCCTTCAGTTGCATCCTGTGAAACTTGGACTCAGTTGATTACTTGATTTTTTTTCTCTTGGGAGAGGGGGACCACATGAAGATGAAATTTGCCTGTTACCATGCGTAGTACTTTTTGTGTTTGTCATTATTTTCTAGAGAACGACATAACCACACATGTTTCTGACATGTCTATTTTTAGTGCATGTTGAACCAAGTTTTGGTTCTCTTCCATCATAACAATTGTATTACTGAACAAGCGGCAAGGATGGTGATCATTTCAGTCTGTTGTTTACCTTGTACAATGGATTTTGAACAGCATGTTTTCATTAGAATGTGATTTTTGTTGTTTACTATATGCTTTTTTCGATTGTTTTATTTGCAAATCTGCTGGTACCATTGCAAAATATGGTTAGTAATTCTGCAAACTCATTGCTTATTTGTTGTAGGGCTTTGGTGGGAGCAGTATGGTGACTCTGCTCCAATATTGCAACGAGTTGCCATCAGAATATTAAGTCAAGTTTGTAGTACCTTCTCATTTCACAGACAGTGGAGTACCTTTCGTCAAATTCACTCTGAAAAGCGGAACAAGATTGACAGAGAAACATTGAATGACCTTGTTTATATTAACTACAATCTCAAGTTAGCTAGACAGATGAATGCAAAGTCTTCAGAAGTTGATCTGCTTCAGTTTGATGATATTGACATGACTTCTGAGTGGGTGGAGGAGAATGAAACTGCAAGTCCAACACAGTGGTTGGATCGTTTTGGTCCAGCCTTGGATGGCAATGATTTGAATACAAGACAGTTTGGTTCTTCAATATTTGGTGCAAATGATCCCATATTTGGATTGTAATTTGTATCTCATCAATTCTCATGTATCATAGCAAGTGTCCTTTCTAGTTCTAGATCGTGTTCGGCCTTGATGATGTAGGTCTCAGTTTTCCTTGTAGGAATGTATTTGTAAGTGATGTAAAGTCAGGACTATTTTATTTGTCTCCCTTTCTCTACTCTCATGAAGTGCATGTGGGAGCATAGGATTATTGATTATGTGTTGTAATTTTGTTGTATTTGAATATAGAAATTCAACAGTTTTCACATTTGATGTAGGATTATTTTGAACATAGAAATTCAACAGTTTTTCTGTATAAAGATAAATCATTTACTGTTTCCAACTCAGTGTAAAATGAAACTTTTTTGTTCAGGTTATTGCTTTGGATCCCATTGTGAGCAAATTAGTAGCTATGGGGCTTAGCGGAGAAGCTGTTCCTATTGCTGTTGACAATTATGGTGATAATCCAACCAAAGTAAGTTATGATCCCTGTAATTCATTATTGACATGATATTTCAGATAATGGCATTGCTTAGAAGTATGATTATGTTGCTGAAAATTAATGTCATACTCTTTCATCCTCTCTCTGTAATGACCATGCTGATTTAATAATATTCTTCGAAACTCAAATGGTTCTTCTTCCCTTGACCAGAATTTCTCTCCAAATTATTACTGTAAACTTACCTCTAGTCATCAAGTTGATAGTGTTTTCAGGAATGATCAAAAGTGACCAGTATGATAGATTCCCTAAACATTATGTTCAACTTTGCATGTCTTGCTTGATCAGATTGTCTTCTTCTGACCACTCGTCTGTGCTGGTAACTAAGGAAGAATTCCGAACTAAGTTTCTATTCAAGTAGACTGGTTGTTGACTTCTTGTTTGCACTGGTAAAGCTTTTCCACCTCTTATCTGGAGTCTGCCTCCAATTCAAATATAACTACTTGTCTACCTTGTAGGGAAGTTCTTTCTTAGCATGACAGAATTTGAGGAGCTTTTCCTGGCTTGGGTCTTATTTCTAAGTTTTTTGCTTTGTCATTCTTTTGATGATAAGGAACTAAACTGTACTAAAGGCAAAGGGGTGTCATACTGAAAATCACATATACCGAATGGTTTCCATACCATCTTCCGGTGGTTTAATGATTTTCTCATTTAGACTATTGCTAAAATTCTGTATTGGATGTTGGCAGCTGCTACAATAGTAGTAGGCAGAAGATTGTCGGTCTTTACTGATTACTTTGTTTTTCTGACTTGATGTATTATTCATTGAAGCTTCAGGAATTTAAGGTTACACCCAACGATGCTGAAGCCCTGGTTACGAATGACAATCATACGGACAAGGCACTACCAATATGGCATCATTTATTGATCAAGGAATGTGTTAGTTCCTTTTGTAGAATGATAAATAATAGTCAAATATAGGTTGGAACACAGGCAATATGTTATTGTCTATTGCTTTACTTACATATATGTTGTTGAAGACTCGTGGATTGAGTGTTTGTTGGGATGCAAGTAAAGTCTCACATCGTTCAAACA